GGAGAAAAGTACTTCTTAGCCCTAAACAAATAGCCTAGCTTTTTCCCAGCAGCTGCAGCTATTGAAGAGATGTGTTCGTGCCAGATCAGGTCCTCGGTGATCTGGACTCCGACCAGCCGAAATGAATGGCTCTTTGGTAGAACTCGACCGTCCATCGAAACTGTATGAGCGCTAGGACGCTTTTTGTTCGTCAAAGTACAGTACTGTGTTTTGGAAGCATTGAACTGTACAAGATTGTTGCGTCCCCAAGCAGTGATAGTCTCCAGGTCTCTTGTCAGAGAAGAAGTCGTCGCTAGTCTTCTTTTTTCCAGCTCAGCGGCAGAGATCGGCTTGTCACTCTGAATTCCTGCATGTAGAGTGCTGTCATCAGCGAAGCTGTGGATTGGGTTGATCGTGCAGGAAAGGAGGTCGTTGATATGTAAGAGAAACAGTGTTGGAGCCAAGACCGATCCCTGGGGAACACCCGCGTTGACGTTGTGGGATGAAGAGGAGAATCCGTCAATTACGACGGATATCTTGCGGCCAGAGATAAAGTCAGCCACCCATCTGCAAAGCTTTTCTGGGAGGCCGTAGGATGGAAGTTTGCTTAAGAGGGCAGCGTGCCACAGCTGATCGAACGCTTTCGTGATGTCAAGAGCAACGACATGAGCCTCACCATGAGACTGGATGAGTTTACTCCACAGTTGCGTGACGTAAGCTAGGAGGTCCCCTGTGGATCGTTGGTGCCGGAAACCGTACTGCCTGTCGCTAATCAAGCTGTGACGTTCGAGGTAGTCCAGAAGCTGCATGCTTCCGGCTATGATGCTTGCCGACACTCGGCATACCGGTAGGGATTATTCCGGATAGCAGTGTATTCCTCATCCCATCCAAAGATCCAATGACTATGACTGGCAGACTGATAGTGTGGTCTGACCAAATCCTGCGAAGCTGATTGAGGAGCTCCTGATATTCGGTCCGTTTGCGATCGAGAAGAATTATGTTAGGCTCATTCGCCTGCACCAGCTCAACCGTGGGTGGAGAACGAGTAATTCCAGTTGATCCGGCATTTTTCGTTCTCCACAACAGACTCAACATCCCCTGGACCTTAGAAATGAGAAGGCCAAAGTTTCACAACAATACGTGCAGTGTTCTCACTACAGTGAATTTTTAAGTGTCACCAAGACAACGGAAAAATGGAACTCAACCGAGAACATTTTCGCGCCATAATGTATTACAACTTTCAGAGACAATTATCGCAACAAGAATGCCTTGCTGAGTTACTGTCTCTTTTCAGCAACGAAGCGCCACATCAGTCGACTATTTCCCGTTGGTATGGAGATTTCAAACGTGGACGGGTGAGTCTTAGCGACGATTTCAAGGTGGGTGCACCAAAAACGACAGTCAGTCAGGAAAACGTCGATGCTGTGCGCAAACTCATCATTGAAGATAGACATGTGACATATCGCGAGATTGAGGCGTCCTTGAAAATCTCAAAGACCTCAATTAAAAAAATTCCACATGAAGAATTAGGAGTAAGAAAATTAGTTTCTCGTTGGATACCCCACCTGTTGACTGAGGAGCAGAAAGCAGCCTGGGTTAATTGGTGTCAAAAACGCTTGACGTTTCAATTTCGGAAACTCGAAAGATGTGTACAGCATTGTTAGTGGTGATGAATCGTGGATTTACTGTTATGAACCAGAAAATAAGCGACGGTCGGCTGTTTGGGTGTTCCAAGGTGAAAAGCGGGTCATATTGCAACAATTCCTCTTAATGAGCAAAGAACTGTTACTGCGGATTGGTATACCACCATTTGTGTGCCAAAAGTCATCCTAACAAACAAGCTTAATTATCATATCAGACAGCATAATAAGACCAAACAGTACGAAAACAAAAAAGAACATGTTAATTAGGAAATGCGATTATATGATAGCAAGGAATCTAAGGAGCAAGATCAAATATCTGCATTTGCAGTTTACTAGTAAATAAATCACCACATGCAAAGATTAGTATTACAATAGCCGTCAAATAAGAGCCCCTTCCCACTTCAGTTGGCCCAGCTATTGAAATCTTAGTTATTTTCTTATCAAACACAAATAATAAAAATGTAACAGGATGTTATAGGTTTAAAATATTAACAATGAATATTTTGATAATATATAGTAGAAAACACCAACTTTATCACTCGGTATTCAAATTTGCAGCATAAAAATAACACATGTTGCAATTACAGCATATCAACCTAATTTCATTTCAATGCAAAATAACCTACCGTGTTGTTTTATTCCCATATGCAAAACTTAAAAGACATCCCTCGTATCTGAAGAAGTTTCCGTGCATAGGCTTGTGTCTATGAGGCCTCAATAAGTAATTTGCTTCAGAGCAGTAGTTTTTATGTTGCTCTTCAGTTGAGCAGGAGCCAGCTCTGTAATGGACTGTTCACGCTTAAAGTCGGGTATGAGACTGAGTTCCTCGGCTGCTCTTTTCGCTGTTCTAACAAGAAAATCCCCTTACCGGCATTCTCGTACTCGCACACAAAGCGTATGAGGGGATCGGTACTCCTCACGCCTTCACAGGCAGTGCTCAGTACCAAACTCCAAACTCAATAGCCCATGCCCTTATTTTTATTATTATGAATGCTTTTTGATACACGCTTACGTGTAAAATGTTATGATATCTGAACTAAATGAAATCAAAGGCTTGAAAGTGGTGGAAAATAAAAATTACCTTAGATCAAGCTCCTTCTAGTATTTAGAAATGTCTATTTATATGGCATTTACTGTTGTAAGGCTTTTTCTAATTTGTTAACTATATCAAGAAATAATTTATTCTAATACCTATACATAATATACAGGGTGTTTTAGTTTATTGTTGCATAACTTCGAGATTAGATAGAACTTTTAAAATTAATGCATAAAGTCTATATAAATATGGGTCGAAAAATGCGTGGCTTCCGAAATACAGGGTGTTTAAATTTACTTTCTAAAATAGTTTTTTTTAAATATTTCGAACAACATTTGATGTATAACAGTGAAAATTGGTATACAAGGCTTTTTTGGTACGACAAAACGAAACGATTTTTAAGGTTCGATGCATTTTTAATTATTTATGATAAAATAACGTTAAAAAGTCAGTATCTCGATAATTTTTAGAAGTAGGCTGTGCCTGCAAATATTTTTGAAATTGAAAGCAGACTAAGGTTAAACGTCAACTAGTTGACAGTTAGTTTTGTTGTCTGTTGAAACCTGTAACGTTTTTTTGCAATTGTGAATGCACGAAATTTAGTTTCTTTTACCTGTTTTTTTTTGTAAGTTTTATAAAAATACCATTTTTATTCTCCAATGAAGAGTTAGCGGAGATTCATTTTGTGTATGGTTTTGTAACTGGAAACGCAGCAGAAGCAGCCACAGAATACGCACGAAGATTTCCAAACAGACGACATCCAACTCGCTCAGTATTTGTAAGAGTGCATCGCCAAATAATTGAAAATGGTTTTGGAAATCTCCAAAGGGATCAAAACAAGTGTTAGGAGAGTTTCTGGTGCTTTGGGAATTCCAGCAAGCCATGTTCACCGTGTTCTTAGAAATGACAATAGTCGTCTTCACCATTTGCAACCTATGCAAGCACTACATCCAGGGGACGGAGAACGAAGAATCACATTTTGTCAGTGGATTCTTGATAGAACTGATAATAATAGGGAGTTTTTAAGTAACGTTTTATGGACCGATGAGTCATGCTTCACTAGACGTGGAGTGGTAAATTTTCATAATCAACATATTTGGTCGCATGAAAATCCACATGCAGTTCGGGAAAGAAATTTTCAGCATGAATTTAGTGTGAATGTGTGGATTGGTATCTACCGTAATCGACTATTTGGACCCTACCTTTTGCCTGCAAGGTTAAATGCTGCGGCCTTCTTGGAATTTTTAAAGGCTGAACATGCAAATATGTGGGATGATGTTATGTTAGATTTAAGAAGATTGGCCTGGTTCCAGCTTGATGGTTGTCCAGCTCATTATTCGAGAATAGTTAGAAACTGGCTGGACGAAAATTATCCAGAAAGATGGATCGGCCGTGGAGGACCAGTCGCCTTGCCTCCACGATTCCCTGACCTAAATCCATTAGATTTCTTTGTGTGGGGATTTCTAAAAGAAAAAGTGTACCAGACTCCTGTAACCACAAGAGATATACTAATAGACAGAATCAGGAATGCATGTGATGAAATAAGGCCTTATTTGAATAATGCTATACCACGTTCGATCATTCGTAGATGTGAATTATGTATTGAACAATTGGGTTTACATTTCGAGCAACTACTTTAGATTTTGTATGTTTGTCCTAACTATCCAATAGCATTTTAGTTGTAAATAATTAATTTAATTTGTTAAAAATAATATTGGAAAATTAAACAAATTAATATACTGTTTTTTTGTGTTTATGTGGATTTAGGAATTATTGCTGTGTTTAAAAACATAATCTAAACGATCATCTTAATTACTTGTAATGCCCAAATCGAAAATGTAAAAAAAAATATTATTTTCCCATAAATAATTAAAAATGCATCGAACCTTAAAAATCGAAATATCTCAAAAACGGCTAACTATAACGAAAACTCACAGGAAAGCTTTTTTATGTTGAAAAGTGCGAAGAATCAGTTTTTTATACAAAAAGCAAAAAATTGCACTAAGAAAGAATTGTCGGTCATTTTAATACACTACAGGTACAGTAGAGAGCGCCCTCTAGCGGCTACAGTAAAACTATGCCCATTCGTCTTGTCGTACCAAAAAACCCTTGTATACCAATTTTCGCTGTTATACATCAAATATTGTTCGAAATATTTAAAAAAAACTATTTTAGAAAGTAAATTTAAACACCCTGTATTTCGGAAGTCACGCATTTTTCGACCCATGTTTATATAGACTTTATGCATTAGTTTTAAAAGTTCTATCGAATCTTAAAGTTATGCAAAAATAAACTGAAACACCCTATCATTTTGCAATGAAACATGAAATTTCTATACGTACCAAGACCATGTTGCCTCTAAGTAAATATCACTAGTCGCCCGTATCACTCGCGTGCTTATCAGCGGTTTGATTGCAGTGCTTCGTTTCTAATTCCTCAAGTCGAGCACTCAGAAACTGTCGGCGAAACTCCACCGGGCGCTCTTTTAAATATCCGCGCTTTATCAAATCAAGTGCGATAATTCACAATTGGAAGATGATTTTTCCTCCTTCTCCGTCGAAATGGACGGTGTCGGTCAAACAGGCAATCGTGCTGGAGAGGTTGTTGACTTGTCACGTGGCCGATTCATAAATAGTAAATGAAATTAGATGCATACCGGCCACCACGAGGAGCAGGCGCATAGGCCACAAACATACCCTTATTCGTTAAGTCTCAAGCTTTGCCCTTCCGGCAAGTAATGGGTGATTTTTTTGCCAATACTGTTTTTGACAGATGACGCGTGAATCGTGTCTCGTGTCATTGTCAAACTTGTTCAGTTTGGTCTATAATTTAACCATGAATCGACTTACGAACGAACAACGCTTGCAAATTATTGAATTTTACTATCAAAATTCATGATCGGTTAAGAGAGTGATCGAGCACTGCTTCCAATTTATGGGCAATTTGGTCGGCCTACTGAGGGAGCTATTCGGAAGCTTGTGACTAAATTTTGAACCCAGTTTACATTATTGGACATTAAACCACCAACACGCAGACGTCGAGTGAGGACTGAAGAAAATATTGCGGCTGTATCCGCCAGTGTTAGTGATGACCGTGAAATGTCGATTCGCCGCCGTTCGCAGCAATTGGGCCTCTGTTACTCCACTACGTGGAAAATTTTGCTACAGGATTTGGGTGTAAAACCTTATAAGATACAGCTGGTGCAAGAATTGAAGCCACACAACCTCCCACAACGTTTCCAATTTGGTGAATGGGCGCTGGCAAAGTTGGAGGAAGATCCACATTTTTATCGAAAAATTGTGTTCAGCGACGAATGGCGAGCGCTACCGTGCGATGATAACAAACTTTTTTTTGCCCAAAATGGAAGAGCTGGACTTGGCTGACATGTGGTTCCAACAAGACGGTGCCAAATGCCGCACCGCACACGCAACAATGGCCCTATTGAGAGGCGAGTTCGGTGAACAGTTTATCTCACGTTTGGGGCCCGTCAATTGGCCGCCTAGATCGTGTGATTTAACGCCGTTGAACTATTTATTGTGGGGCCATGTTAAGGCTAATGTCTACAGGGATAAACCAGCAACGATTGACGCACTGGAAGCCAATATTGAAGCATTTATTCGTGAGATACCGGCCGATATGTTGGAGAGAGTGTGCCAAAATTGGACCTTGCGCATGGGCCATCTAAAGCGGAGCCGCGACCAACATTTACATGAAATAATCTTTAAACATTAAATTATATCGACCGTTCTATCGACTCAAATAAAGATTTAATCGTTTTTTCAAATTTTTTGTGTTTTTTTTGAAAATCAAATCCTATACCTCTTAAAAAATCACCCGATACAAGTATAGCCCTCCGTCCCAGTTCCTTAACATCCTGAAAAGTGCCTCACAGCCACACATGATATGCTTCGAGGACTGTTCTTGTACCCTGCAGCACATAAGGAGGGTATATTCACTTTTTTGAAATCTCACCCAGCTAGGCTTTTTGAGGATACAAAGACGTGCTCCTTCCTTTTTAACACACTTTTATTTTAGCTTGGCCTGTGTGTATGTATGTATTGAATCTTTGCGCATAATTTTCACCAATTTACAGAAGTTTGGTTAAATTGAAACTTCGCACACCTATCAAGGACCGATGATAATACAAGGATTTAATAACAGTTTTCCATTATCCTTATTAAGACCGAGAGGATTGATAAATTCTTTGATAGATCCTCTGTAGGGGAGCGAGAGAATTATTCTGTTAATAACTTAAATTTTACTATTATTTTATTTTTTTTATTTTTTAGTGTAATATCTTTGTAATTAAAAATTATTTTCTACTTTTTAGTTCGGTCAGTTATAAAAACGTGTTTTTCAGTTTTTTTTTAAACTATGATTTATTTGATTTAAGTGGGTGCTAGAGAATCTGTTTTACTGAATTACGAGGATTTTTCATTTTCTCCGAATATCTCAGCCGCAATAGAAGATTTTTCAGTTTTGCTTGCGCAAAAAGTCATCAAAGCGCACATAAAACACGATTTTTTCAAAATTTTGTGGCGTGAAATTCAATTTTTCAATGCATTAAAAACTTCTGTTATTTTAACAAAACGTGTTGACCCACTTTATTATCGAAAAAATATATGTGATGTGTCTCTAGTATATCCACCTTCATGAATTGTTTCATAATTTTCTTAAAATATATTTTATCTCCAATTTTGAATAATTTTTAAAAACACTAAATTTTATTATTATTCTTTTTTCTCGAGTTTGATTTTAAAAGATTCAAGGTGAACCAGTAAAGATAGTTTTATATAGAATAATTTTGTCAACATCGTTTTATAACGTTTTTATTTGCATTAAATGTACGTTTGTAGATGACCTAAAGTTACCTTCCTAAAAATAGCGAAAAAAAAAGATTTTGAATATTTTGAACGTATTTAGAAATTATTAAAAAATCCTCGAAGGTAGTTCTACAGGTCCCATATATTTTTTCATTATAACGTGGGTCAATAGGCTTTCATAAAAAGAATATTAAAAAATGGTAAAGCCTCAAAAAATTGAATTTTTCACCAACAAATTTTGAAAAAATGCGTTTCAAGGGCGTTTCGAAAACCTTTAGTTTGGCGCAAGAATATACAAAAAAATCTAATTGAGATATTTGATAAAAGCGAGAAATCTTCGTGATTCAATACAGGGTGTCCGCAAAGTTGGGGTTTTCCTCTACACGACGTGTAGATCTTGAAAACATAAGCAATTTTTCTTAGTACCATATACACCAATGTCTTAAGGGAACCGAGATAAAGGGCTCTGCAACATCAAAAATATCTGAATACCGTCCTGTAGCCGCGACCCGGGACATCACCGATTGGTACAAGGTCTCAACCCGACGGCAGAACTGGGTCGGGGCCAGTGTGTCAGGTCAGTATGCAACCTTCAACCGACGGTTACGGTCACGCGTGTAGAGGTAATCGCGTAGACGAGAAGCCCTCAACAAGCACTAGATACGTGGCTAAAGAAGTGCAAGTATCAAAAACTAAAGTGTGGCAAACGCTGCCTGGGGCTGTATCCGTTTCACGTCCAACGTGTACAAGCCGATCAACCTGACGATTTTCCAGCAAGAGTGCGCTTTTGAGAGCGGTTGTTGCATCAACATGACAATAATCCGGAAGTGCATATTGGTGACAGACGAATCTACATTCACGCGTAATGGGGTGAATAAGTTTCGCAACACTCATGTTTGGTCAGTAGAAAATCCGCACGCTGTCCGTCGGGCACAGTTTCAAAAACCTTTTCGGTGAATGTTTGGGCTGGCATGGTGAACGGTATGCTCATTGGACCATTTATTCTCCCAAATCGATTGGACGGGATGCAATACCTAGACTTTTACGCAACATTTTGCCTTCCTTGTTAGAAGATGTGCCATTAAGTGTAAGACAATCAATGTGGTTTCTCCGTCTGCTCGGTAGCGCTTCAGCTGATTTCATTTTCTGTTGGACCGGTATGATTTCGGCCAGAGACGTACTTAGCCCTTCTCGTCAACTGGAGGGTGAGTACTTTTTCCTTTATTTTTTTTTACTTGGTCGCCCTCGTTTCACTGCATATTACCTTTGTTATTTCAAGGGTAGCTGTTTCTGAAAAGGAAAACCCCAACTTTGCGGACACCCTGTATAACCGTTTTGGAAGCACCTAAATAAATCAAAAAAAGGGGAAAGAGCATCTCCTTTTATTCTCAACAAGGCCTATAGAAATTACTTAAAAAAATGTTTTTCAATCGTAACTTTTTAACACATTATTATATGTGGATATTCTACCTTTATGGAAGATTTGAGCTGGTGATTACTTTTTTCCTTATCACTCTCTTCAAAAAATCTGCTTTTTTCTACTATTATATTGCAATTCTGACATACAATTTCCGAGCTGTACTAATATTTATTAACAAGTTACGACTGACGAAAAAATGCATAATAAAGTGCATTTTTAGACAAAAAAAATAGTAACATTGTTTTCCAGACACCTTTATACAAACCATGAAATAATCAGATGAAAAGGATTTAGAGAAAAGGGACATATGACCTTAACTGATTGATTACACCAATACGTGGAAAAAAATAAATTTCGTTATTAATTTAATCTCAAAATGTATTTTTTTTAGTAAGTTTCCATGAAAGAAGTACCTTCCCACTCCTCTAATGGCTAACATCATCCCACTAACCGCCAGATCGTACCCGATTTGTGTTATATTGAAATGACCTCCTGTTATCAATCCTACGGCAAAGAGCGACAGATAATGGTCGCGTGAGTAACTGGACATTTCGCCGTGATAAAAATAAATATCACGTTTATTGTCGATCAATTCGAGATATGTCTGGTGATAGGAAACTTTAATGTTTACAAACAACTTCCTGAAGAACGCTTTTTGGCCGATTTTTTCTCATGATTAACGTAGAGCTTTAAACGAACCGGAAAGTAGTTCAACAAATTAAGCTTTTTAGGAAGCTGAACACTAAGATCTAGAGACAGCCAACTATGAACAGCTGTTTCGTGCTTTTCGGATACTCATCAGCATGGTCTATGCCAGGTAGAAAGAAAAAACAAACGACATTAACAAATAACATTACAATGTAATGTTTAATTTACACGCATAAAATTAGAAATCAAATGTCAAATTCACTTATTCTGTTAACAGCTTTGTCAAAACCCTGCGTCGTCAATCGCAGTTTATACAAGTTTCGAAAAGTCACATAATGAAATCCGGGCGCACCCCCGCCGCGCTCCGTTTAACATTCATCACTTAGAAAACAATTGTGGACCTACCAGACGTGGATGAGCATCTGTTTGAGTGTGTCAAATTATTGTGTCTCACTGCTAAAAGGTAAGTTTTGTGTATTTACAAACTTCAGTTACCATATTTATTTAATTTACTAAATTGTTGATTGAGTGGAGACGCGTTCATAAATCGGCCATTGGGACTTTTTTACCGGACCAACGTCGTGAAATAATGTTGAAACGACGAACTTTAAGTACCTATTATTGATTCCAAAATGTATTTAAAATTACTATTACAACGTCAACCTGCCTACAAAATATACTAAGTGACATGTAAATCCGAACACCCAATTTAAATGGTTTTATTTTAATAAAAGTTGGTGAATGTATTTATCTTACTGTAAATAACAAGTGAAAAAATGTTCAGCCTTATCAGTTGGACATTCCGGTTTTTATACTGCTTTTTTTTAATTCACTAACGCTCTAAAAATGAATATTTCAGCCGTAGTAAAGAATCAACGTTGGCGGATTTTGGTTCTTGACATCATTTACGATCGGTTACGATGCCTAGAGTACGGAGACCTGTACGATTTCGTCAACTTAGTGTGTTTGATAGGGGCCGTATAGTGGGACTTCGGGAAGCTGGACTTTCTTTTCGGGCAATTGCAGTTAGAGTGCAAAGAAGTGTAGACACTGTGGTTAGGTGTTGTCAGGCATGGCTTCGAGAAGGCCGTACGCAAAGAGCAAGGGGCACTGGACGCCGCCGTAGAACAACAGACCGTGAAGATCGCCGCCTAAGATTATTGGCCTTAAGGGACCGTTTCTCCACTACCAGGTCCATTGCACATGAATGGTTTGCAGAACACGGAAGACCTATTGGCATGCGAAGTGTTTACCGACGAATGAGAAGTTTTGGCTTGTTTTCATACCGGCCACACTGGGTCCTCCCTTTAACTCGAGAACACCGACGTAATCGCCTTGAGTGGTGCAGACAACGGTCACTCTGGGATCAGGAATGGAACAGTATTGTCTTTAGTGACGAGTATCGATTTTGTTTAGGCATGCACGATGGTCGTGCCAGGGTTAAAAGGCGACGTGGTGATAGGAGTAATCCACAGTTTTTTGTTGAAAGACATGTTCATCACACTGTTGGAGTTATGGTTTGGGGTGCTATAGCTTATGGTTCCAGGTCACCTTTAATCTTCATCAGAGGTAACATGAACGCGCAGCGTTATATCCACGAAGTTCTAGAACCCCATCTTTTACCCTATCTTGACACCCTGGCTGATCCAACTTTCCAACAAGATAATGCCCGACCACATGTTGCAAGAGTCACAATAGACTTCTTTCAACATAATGATGTCACATTGTTACCATGGCCACCAAGATCTCCCGACTTATCCCCAATTGAGCACGTGTGGGATATGATGGGTAGGAGAGTGCTTAATTTGCAACGTCCTCCTCAGACTCTAGAAGCACTTCGAGAGGAGTTGGTGGTTGCCTGGAATGACATACCACAGGAGGACATTGACCACCTGATCAGAAGCATGCCTAGGCGCGTTGGAGAATGCGTAGCACATCAGGGTGCATCCACACATTATTAAAGGTCAGAGGGCTTTAAAGCAGTGCAATCATTTTGAAATTTTTATCATTTACTTATTATGCTTCATTAAGTACTTATACAAAATTTTATTAAAATAAAACCATTTAAACTGGGTGTTCGGATTTATATGTCACTTAGTATATAAATCTCCCGGTGGCCAATATACTGTTGAATACATTACGTTATTAAAATAAAATAACGGGCATATATTTAGTAATTACATGTAGGTATTTTGCTTATTTATTTATTACTTATTTGTTTTATTGTTACAGGTGCAAAATGGCTGCTCCAAAGATTACGTTAAGATTCGATTAACCTTCATAGAAAAAGACGAGTTACAATTGCCTCAGTGTGTGATATGTTTGAAAGTTTTAAGTAATGATAGCGAGAAGCCCATTCGCCTTGAAAGGCATTTGAAGCAACAACCTCCTACTCTGGTTTTGAAGACGAAAGAGTTTTTTTCTTCTAAAGCAGAATCACTCAAGCGGATAAGGCTGGATAAATCGGGAGGTTATCACACAGGTGTATCGCAGCATCTCAAAGCTTCATTTGAAATAGCTTTTACGATAGCAAAGCAAAAGAAACCTCATACTATCGGTGAAGAATTGATAAAACCATGTGTCCTAACAGCCACGCAAGATAATTTTAGAAGAAGGTTCAGAGGAAAAAATGAAGTCGATTTCTCTTTCTAATAATACAGTCAAGTATAGAATCGATGTTATTGCAGCAGACATAACATACAGCCACAAATAATTAACAAAGTAAAATTATCGCCATTTTTTGCCGTTAGTTGCGATGAATCAATCGACATCGTTAATTGTGCACAGTTAATAGTTTATGTTCGTTGAATCATTCAAGAATAGATATTGTACTCCCAATCTTTGACAGCAGGTTCAATATCAAATTTTGTTGAAAAAAAAATGATTTGGATTGGAAGAAACTTATTGGAAATGCACAGATGGCGCACCTGCAATGATCGGGCTTAGTTAAAAAGCTCCAGGAAAAAATCCCGCAATAGTTAGTACACATTGTGTTATTCATCGGCAAGCTTTGGCTTCCAAAACATTGCCACAGAAAGGCTATAAGGATTGTAAACTACATCAAGAGCAGCGCTTTGAACAGTCGGTTATTTACTTTACTTTGCGAGGATCTCGATTCTGATCACAAAGTTCTCCTGTTCCACACAGAAGTACGCTGGCTGTACAAAGGCAACATGTTGGCTCGCGTTTATGAATTGAAAGAAGAGGTAATTCTTTCTCCTGAGTTCAAAGAAAAACACGATTTCTTGACAATGTTCGAACATGACACATTTCAATGGAGGTTGGCTTATTTAACTGACAAATTTTAAAATATTCATAGAAAATCAATTATTGTTTTTAATTCTTTTTTGATGATTTATCCGTCGACGAAATAGAGTGTAGTTTCCCTGATTTAGATATGTGCACTTTATGAAGACTCACACTGTATATAGGTGAAAAATAAAGCTTCCGCCTTTAGTTGGGTACTTCGACAAAATTCAAGCAATGAGGACTCTTTATACTTTATTAGTCTCTAGCTTTCAATGGACTTTGCCATCATCATCAGGAGCTGCAATAACATTAAGAAGAAATCGCAACTATTGTGCAAACTTACAATAGTAAGTATGTACTTTAAAATCATTTTCAAGCTTTCAATAGTCTTTGCCATCATCATCTAAAGAGTAGTATGTGAGGATGTTGCTAAATGTTATTTACGTTAAGGATGAGGGAGACACCCAGTAACATGGTGAAAGCTGGATACATTGAATTGAAGTGGTTTCACGATGTAATGCTTAACTTTCGTTTTAAATATTTTTAATCTGTTTTTAATTTGTTTTTGTCATACAGCTGTGTGTAGTTTGTATAATTTTGACTATTGTACCATGTATCCAGCTTTCACCATGTTACTGGGTGTTTTCCTCATCCTTAACGTAGCAACATCCTCACATACTACTCTCCTGATGATGATGGCAAAGACCATTGAAAGCCAGAGAGATTAAAAAAGTCCCCCTTGCTTAAATTTTTCGAAGTACCCAACAAAAGGCGGAAGCTTTAATTTCTCACCTAAATATACAGGATGTCCGCAAAGTTGGGGTTTTCCTTTACACGACGTGTAGATCTTGAAAACATAAGCAATTTTGCTCAGTACCATATACACCAATATCTTAAGGGAACGGAGATAAAGGGCTCTGCAACTTCAAAAATATCTGAATACCGTCCTGTAGCCGCGACTCGCGACGTCCCCAACTGGTACTAGGACACTAGCTCAACCCGACGACAGAACTGGGTCGGGGGTCGGGGTCAGTGTGTCAGGTCAGTATGCAACCTTCAACCGACGGTTACGGTCACGCGTGTAGAGGTAAACGAGCCCGTGTAATCGATTGCGTTTCAAAAAACAAGAAGCACTAGAGACGTGGCTAGAGAAGTGCAAGTATCAATAACTAAAGTGTGGCAAACGCTGCGTGAAGAGAGGCTGTATCCGTTTCACGTCCAACGTGTACAAGCCCTTCAACCTGACCATTTTCCAGCAAGAGTGCGGTTTTGTGAGTGGTTGTTGCATCAACATGACAATAATCCGGACATTTTGAAGTGCATTTTGGTGACAGACAAATCTACATTCACGCGTAATGGGGTGAATAACTTTCGCAACACTCATGTTTGGTCAGTAGAAAATCCGCACGCTGTCCGTCGGGCACATTTTCAACAAACATTTTCGGTGAATGTTTGGGCTGGCATGGTGCGTCTGCTCGGTAGCGCATCAGCTGATTTCATTTTCTGTTGGAGCGGTATGATTTCGGGCAGAGACGTACTTAGCCCTTCTCGTCAACTGGAGAGTGAGTACTTTATCCTTTATTTTTTTTTACTTGGTCGCTCTCGTTTCACTACACATTACCTTTGTTATTTCAAGGGTACTTGTTTCTGAAAAGGAAAACCCCAACTTTGCGGACACCCTGTATATATAAAGCTCTTGTATACAGCTTACACCCCCTTGGCTACTACTATCCAAGATAAGCGCGCTGGACCGAAGTTGGATGAACGCTCCAATTGTTTTCGGTACCTTGGCCAGATCTAGAAAAACAAAACTGCCAACTTTTGTCTAACTACTTATTCTCATTCCACTGTTATGAATGTCAAGTACAGTTCGAACCACTTGCAGACATGACAGTTGATTGCCAATTGTTTTAAAATAAATCATTTTACTAACTATGACTAATGTTCATTCCAACGATAAAAAACTGACACTTATCTGGATAAAAATAGATATACGCATTTAAGGCGTCTTAAAGTCACGTGTATTTCACGATGCTTCTGAACTAAATAAACGAAGCATAATTCTCTTCTTTGAAGTAGTAATCCACAACAATTCAGAATAACATGAGTGCGATGGAAAATTTTCCATATCAAAACATCCCGGTGTTTATCCATCAATCGGGCTCACGAGACTTATCCATGAACGCTAATAAGGCACTGCTTGAACACTGGATCAGGCGAGACTTTTCGCGAAATTTATAGTCCAGTATAGGTGGTATCTGTTACTGCAATAAGCTACTTGACTCGTATCGAATGACTTGGAAACTGATGGTGTATAAATGGTAAAATTATGTTACCCCACAATCTCCGCATACAGGGCGTAAGCGTTATGATAGTCATTATTTAAATGGGTGATAGAGGGGGTTAAAAGCCGCAAAAAGTTTCATATAACATGGGGGTCAAAACGGCATTTTTTGAGAGAAAAGCAACTTTAAAGTAAAATAAAATCTGACAACGCCGCAATGCCAGACGCAAATTATGACGGAACGCAGTGCAAATAAAGATGGAGTTTGTTGTTTTTGGCTCTTAGGTATTATTTCATTATTTTATATGTACAGCGAAGAAAAATTTGGGGGTCCATGAAATGAATATGGGGGTCCACGATAGTGGATCTCAACACATACACTGATAGTACCTATTTACTGACATCATACTATCTTATAAGATCAAAACATATACATTATTTATAAAAGTACCTATGAAGTAAAAAATTTATTATATATGTCTATAAAATTGTGTAAGTTGTAGGATGTTGGTATTCGCTTTGTGGTCGCAATACATTTTGAACTTGTAAAAACCTGAGAGTCGCAGTCTCAGAGCTTCGCTACCTTGCACTGACTTGTTCAATTCGTCACTCTATAAATACGAATGTGGGACAAATACGTTTATTCGTTTCCTGAATCTTGAAAAGGAAAGTGCTAAGAAAATATTTTAAAAAATATAAACAGATAGTATATCACACAAATTATAGTGAGTCAGTGTTATTTTGTTTGAGAGTGCTGGAGAAAAGTAAGTACATTATTTTTTATTAAATTTTAGTTTTGTACTCGTAGTTAGCAAAGATAGATAAATTACGCCAATCATGACTTTAGTTATTAGTAGTTAAATATTCAATCATGCAAAATTACACGAGTACTCCTCAATAGTTTCTTTTTGAAAGTTTTAGCAATCGATAACATAATTACAGTGCAATCTCCGTAATTCGAGCTAATTGTTGCAAGAAGATGTTCGAATTATGGAATGTTTTCGGAAAAATCAAAAAATATTTTTAATAATCATCTGGTGGATTTTCTGTCTTATTTAAATAATTTAATTTTGCCCACAGATGACTGATGCCATGTCCGAATCTAAAACGAAATGTAGACAGTACAGTGTTGATTATTTGAAATTTGGCTTCATTCCATCATTGCCGGACAATCAATCGCCTATGTGCCTTTTCTGCAACAAAGTTTTGGGCAATGACACTATGAAACCATCTAAACTGCAAGATCATCTGAAAATATGCCACCCTGATAAAACAGAGAAAGATTTGAAATACTTTCAAACACTCAAAGATAAATTTCAGAAGAGACCTACACTGGACAGAATGTTCGCTTCGACGTCACTAAGAAATGATGATGGTTTGCGGGCGTCTTACAATATCTCGTTACTTATAGCAAAATCCGGAAAACTGCATACTATCGGAGAGAAGTTAATTTTGCCAGCCGTTGAAGAGGTTTTAAAAACTGTTTTACACAAACCTGCATCTGATATCATTAAAAGAATTCCCTTAAGCAACAATACTGTTGAAAGACGAATTGATGAAATGAGTTCTGATATTGAAAGCTTATGTAATTATTTGCAAACGACCCATTTCTCTATACAACTGGACGAGTCAACTTTACCTGATAATGCAGCATTATTATTGGCATATGTTCGTTTTATTATGAATCAATAAATCTACGAAGAACTGCTCTTCGCAAGAACTTTGATAACCGACACTAAAGGTAAATCAATATTTTATGTTTTGAAGGATTACTTCATTGAAAAAGCAATTCCTTTATCAAATATAATATCAGTAGCTACAGATGGAGCACCTGCCATGGCTGGACGTTATCGTGGATTTATAAGCTATTTAAAACAAAATGTGTCAGGGGTGTTAGCAATACATTGCGTCATCCATCGACGACATTTAGTTGCTAAAATTTTGAGTGTTAGATTGCATGGATCACTTCATTTAGTCATTGATGCAGTAAACCGAATCCGAAGCAACGCATTGAATACGCGGTTATTTGCGCAGTTGTGTGAAGAAAATGACGAACACTTTCATCAATTACTCCTTCACACTGAAGTACGTTGGCTGTCGAAAGGCTTATGTTTGACAAGATTTTTTGCCCTTTTTGAGACTATTTTAGAATTTCTGGATACTAAAGATTAAATTTTAAAAGAAAATTTAATGAAGAAGAAAACAGACATCGCGTATTTAACCGATTTGTTTACAAAATTTAATATGGTTAATTTGCAATTACAAGGCGACAGTTTAAATTTGATTAAAACAAAGTCCATCTTATCAGCGTTTCTTGCCAGAGTTAAACTAATGAAGCAAAATATTGAACGGGGCGAATTTTCTCAGTTCCAAAATTTGTCACAGACAAGGTGCCAGGAAGAGGACGTTTCAACTTACCTTCAACATTTAAATGCCCTCTATTCAGATTTTGAATCTAGGTTTGAGGATATTTTGACTATGGTAATACCACTGTGTATAATTAATCCATATGGTGACATAGAAGAAACGAATGTCATAATACAAGAGGAACTGACTGAACTAAGTACAAACTAAGAACTTAAGGTTCAGCTTAAAAACTGATATCAGCAATTCTGGCTGCATAACAACATACCCGTTACTTATCCCGTATTATGGAATTTAGCGAGGAAATTTTTAATTTCCTTTCCATCGTCATACCTAGTGGAAAGGGGGTTCAGCGCTGTTACCAATCTCCTAACGAAAAAAAGAAACAGACTGGACATCATTAGCCAAGGAGATTTAAGATTTACCCTTACAAAATTGACGCCAAATGTTGATAATTTATTATTAAAGCATCAGGTTCATCCTTCTCACCAAAAATATTGACTTATTGCTTATGTTATTTTATGTTTATTGGTGTCTGACCAATAAATGCCCGCATTGGGAATAAGTGCACGCATTGATTTTTTTAAAGAACCCTCCTTTATAGAAAATATTTTCTTTTAAATTATTCTGAAAATTCAAGGATAGGTACACACTAAAATTCGTTAATTTTTTGCCTATTTTTAGATAGCTTAAACGTATAAGAAGCGGAATTTAATCAAACTAACAGTGAAATTATTGTAGAACATACGTTTATGTTATAATTAATAAACGAACTCGCTTATTGTACTATTTTAAGTAAAAAACTTTTTTTTTATTATTTTTCACTTTTTTTTAATTTTATCCCTCTTATTTTTTTTCAATGCGGGCACTTATTGGTCAGACACCTGTTTATTTAATGTTACGTATATTTTACATAACAGATACAAAATTTTATTTTAAGTAGTTTTAATTTAAACTCAATTAATAAATGTATAAATTAACATGTGTTTTTACTTTAAGTTTTTAACACTAAACTTCACTACAGTTAGAAATTTACAGGAAATCAATATCAGGTAAGTAGGGGGTCTACCCAACACGGAAAAACATGGCAAGGGGTCTACGACACAAAAAAGTTTGAGGAACTCTGCTCTAGGTCCTCGAAGTTGCCCATTTATTATTTCAGCCGCATTAAAATTTTTTTCGCGAAGTTGTGCTTCAGTTGTTATTAGACCAGCCCCATAAACCGTCTCTTTAAGTTCTACCCAATACCAGAAATCAATCGGATTGAGGTCAGGAGATCTTGTTGGCCATCTTCGAAGATCAGGAGCATATTGACCGATCCAGCGATTTGGATAATGTTTATTCAAATACTGAATTTCGCCTCTAAAAATGTGTGGTGGTGCCCCGTCATGAAGAAACCACACATTCTGTCTCCGTTGTAATGGCATGTTATATAAGGTCTGTTCCAAAAGTCCTGGTAGGTTATTGGCTAGAAAGCTAAGGTATCCTTCTCCTGACAACTTTGGGGGTAACTCGAAAGGGCCAATTACCTGATCGTCAAGAATACCCGCCCAAATATTTATTTTAAAACGTTGTTGAAAATGAGCTTCACGAATGGTATGAGGATTTTCCTAGGCCCACGTGTGAGTGTTATGGAAATTTAATATACCGTCTCGCGTAAAAGTACATTCGTCCGTCGCTAGAATATTTTTAAAAAAATCCGGATTTTCAATGTTTTTGTGCAAAAACCACTGACAGAATTTTAGTCTGCGAGGATAGTCTTCTGGTAACAAGGCCTGCAGTCGATGTACATGGTAGGGATAAAGCAAATTTTCCCGCAGGATTCTATGGACTATGGTATGCGATAGTTCTACGGCGGCCTAATTCCCGAGTGCTGATATCTGCATTGATTTCCACGATATTTAAAATTTGTTCCTGCTGCTCTACAGTAACCTCTCTTTCACGATTGCGAATATTAGTGAGCTGATTACTTCCTGTATCTCGAAGTCTTTGATACACTTGCACAAATGTCCTTCTGTTTGGGTGTACCCGGTGGCGAAATCTGTCGCGATAAATTTGAGCTGCAAGATTTGAATTCCAACGAGCTTCACCGTAAACTAACAACATTTCGGCGAACTCTTGATTCGAGAACATTGTCAATAAACACGACGACGTACGCGAACAAAATCAAAACAACATACTAACCACTGTTACAGTTTGCGATCGATTGCCGGTTCGATAAGAGTGATGAAAAACCGACGCGCTGTTGTCATGTGTGTTTTAAATATTTAATTTAATGAAACTTACTTACTGACTACAAATTTTGGCCTAATTCCTAATTCTATTTATTTGTTAATTACCCAATTTAAAAACTTTTTAGATTAGATTATAAAAATTAGTTAGATTTTGGTGATTGTGCTCGATATAAAGCACTTAAAGTTGTAAACTATAAAGCCATTTAGACAAAAATGTATTGACTTTTGGACCATGGGTCATATGAGCCTTTTGACTTGTTTTGACCCACCCTTTTACCCATTTCAATAATGACTACCATAATAAATTGTTGCTTAAAAAGACGTATATTTCCAAATTCAACGAAAAAAGCTCCGATTTTTCCACTATCGAAAATTAACAATCCAAACTCGTATACAGTCTTACGGCCGTAAGTATTTTAGCTACACTGTCAAAAAAACTATGTACATCAGTTGGTACAACTAAATCATTACAAAACGATCGAAGAAAAGCGAATAGAGTGCATTACATTAATATTGCATTTTATTGATATTCATTCATTGTTCTTCTTTCTGTGAAATAATCATTAATTCACGGTATACATTATAGGGTGTTGCTCTTAATAAAATACAGAGAAATGAAAACAATTGAATCCGGCCTTGGAATTTTAAAATTTCAAAACATCTTTAGTTCATTTCTAAGTATTATTTGGTAAAATGTTGATGAAATCAAGTTAGTAATGTTCACGATTTTGAGTGTTGTGTACACAAACTGATAGAAATAAGATATTTGAATAAAAAACCATCATTCATTGGTTTTTTGTGTAAACGGTCAAACATGTCAATATTCAGCTTAAAAATTGTTGATTTTGAGAGAATGAAAAAAAGTTCGGCCCTGAATTTTTCACTGTCGACCATATTTACGTAACTCCTGAGTAACTTAGATATTGTGCAAAATTTAAACAAAGTCTGAGGTATGTATGTGATATTAAATATGTGACGTGATTAAATAAATCCGAAAACAATGAATTTAAAACCTTTTTATTTTCAGATATGAAGGTCCTCAGCACAGAGTACCTATCATTTCTCTATTACACCTTTTATTTGGTGCAACTTTTTTTACAAGATTTTATTCAACTACGAACAATAGACGGAGATATTTTAGGCGGTGATTCCATAGATCCTAAAAAGTAAAAAAATTATAAAAGAAAAAATATACATTTTCAAAAACACGCTTTTATAAAAACAAACTGTATGTATCTGTTGACAGAATGAACCAAAAATTAAAAAATATTTTTTCTGATTGGAAATATCTTAGCGATCTCAAATTTTCAAATAAAGGTATAACACGCTTTTATTTGAAAACTTAAGATAAAGCAGCTTCATTATAGTTTGAAGTTTAAATATTTACAATCGGAACAACTATTTTTATATGGTTAGTCCATTTTATTGACTGTTAAATAAAAGCTTGTTTTTAAAAATGTATTCTCTAAATTTATTTGTCGCTGTTTCAGTTGGTCTTAATCTACTATACCGCCATAGATTATTTGCGTAGAATGACGGTAGATGAACCAACATAATAAAATTAGTTATACGAGGGGTGTCTTTTAAGTCTGGCATATAGAAATATAGTAGGCCGCGCGGATCGAACGTCAGTACTGAATCTTAACCTCACTCTTTAGTAAACTTAAATTCAAAGTTTCACAACAATACGTGCAGTGTTCGCACTACAGTGAATTTTTAGGTGTCACCAAGGATTTAGAAAAATGGAACTCAACCGAGAACATTTTCACGCCATAATTTATCACAACCTTCAGAGACAATTATCGCAACAAGAATGCCTTGCTGAGTTACTGTCTGTTTTCGGCAACGAAGCGCCACGTCAGTCGGCAATTTCTCGTTGATATAGAGAATTCAAACGTGGACGGGTGACTCTGAGTGACGATCCCAGGGTGGGTGCACCACAAACGGCAGTCGCCCAGGAAAACATCGATGCTGTGCGCAAACTCATCATTGAAGATAGACATGTGACATATCGCGAGATTGAGGCGTCCTTGAAGATCTCAAAGACCTCAATTCAAAAAATTTTACATGAAGAATTAGGAGTAAGAAAATAAACGACAGTCGGCTGTTTGGGTGTTCCAAGGTGAAGAAAAGCCAACAAAAGTCACCCGTTCTCGAAGTGATTCGAAAAAGATGGTCGCGACATTTGTGTCAAAAGCGGATCATATTCCAACAATTCCTCTTAATGAGCAAAGAACTGTTACTGCGGATTGGTATACCACCATTTGTTTGCCAAAATTCATCACCGAGCTTCGAAAAATCAACCCCGAAAGAAGCATTATCCTCCACCAAGACAATGCAAGCTCGCACACAGCCCAAAAAACTAGGCAGTATTTAACGGAAGAAAACGTGAAATTATTGGACCATCCTCCATATATCCCTCGTACTGATACTTTATCTCTACATGACTGACAAAATCATAATTATTCAAAAAATGCGGTAATGTGTATAACAGATAAATATTTATGTATCATTGATGTGTAATATAATTGATCAGTGACGTAAGAAGTGTTACACCCAGAAAAAAATAATTACTTCTGGATTTTTTAGCAACGAGGTAGTCTCACATCAAGAATGAAACGATAAAATTATCACGAAGCTTGACAAGTAACAAGAAAAAAATAAATAATGTTTTGGGCAACCCCGCAGCTGAATACATTCGTGTATACGTCTAGGTATCGATGTCTGGTTGTGGCACCTCATTTCAAGCAAGTCGAACTTCGTGGATTAGCTGTGGCAGCGTCTGTGGCGGATGGTACAAAAGATAGTCTCCTCCCCATCATATAATAATAATAATAATAATAATAAATCGTCTTTATTTAGGGGGCGAAGTTTAGCATAATGGTACTCTGCCACTTGACCCCCAAAAAAAGAAAAAACTGTAAAAAACAATACAAAAAAACATAAATACATTTGATTAGTTAGAAGATTAAAAATGTAGGCGTATAAAAAATATGGTATACCTATAACATATATAAGTGAAGGCTATTCAATATTTCATGATTTAAAAGTATAAAATTGTAACAGTCATACAAAACAAAAGGAATGCTATATTGTAAATATTTTTGTGTGGGGTGACAGATAAATTTTATCAGCTAGTTTATATACTTCTATTCAAAATAAATTTCTTCATATGTCTTTTAAATTCATCATATGATAGCAATTTTGTGGATCGAGGTGGAGCATTGTAAAAAATAATTGCGTTGTAGGTAAGGCATTTACGAAAGTATGATGT